CTAGTGATATCCTTTTGTTTGTTTGTTTGTTTTGCAGAGTCTGTTTTTAGAAAATCTTATCTAATAAATTTTAACACAGACCTGAGGACCACAGCATATCTGTAGTAAGTTGTGACCCTGGAAGAAGGGCTAAGTAGAAGCAGCTCAGCTGGCTCAATGTGCAAAAGTAATACCAAAAAAGACATATTTTACAAAAGTAAAAAGGAAATAAACAAAATTAGCCAGTGGCCAATCCAAAACACCAGTCTGCATTTCCATTTTTAATGTACAGTGTTCTGTCAGGATATTCTGACAAACTTATTAGAGAACATACTAAGAAAAAAATTAAAGATTAACTAAAAAGTTAGTCAGATCTAAGTCAAAATGACTCAATGATAAAAGAAAAAAAAGAATCACCTTGGGAGAAGATTAAAAACTTAGGTAAAGTCCCAAACTCTTTTTGTTTTAATATTGAGTCACTTGAAGTTTTTACAGCCTATGAAGTGTACGTTTTATGCTCTGGATTAAGAGTCAACATTTACTATTCAGGTAAAAAGAATGAAATTGCAGCCACTGTCATAATTTTTTAATATATTATTATTTAAAAAAAAAAAAAAAAACACAAACATTTATTTAAAATGAAAATACAAATACTACATTATTGATTAGCTCTCTAATTCCAGAAAAAATTAAGACTACAAGTTGTCACCCTTGCAAGAACTATCATTTCTTTAGAGTAACAGTGTAGCAAACTAAGATGAAAGAGTTGTTTTTTTCGGTTTTGTTTCAAACAAATTATGAACATTAAATTATGTTCTTTTAAGTGACTTAGAATGTATATTTCTGCTGAGGAACAGCAAAAACTTCCATAAGTAACCTTGATTGGGTACTATTTACTCTTTGTCTGGCAAACTTATCTAGCCAAAGGCTCTCTGTAAAGTAAGTGGAGGTACAAGATTTCTTTTGGAAGGACAAACTCCCACTAGCTCTGGATGTATATTAAATGTAGCACATCCACATCAAAATAGAAGACAAAAATATGAGAATACATGGCCCTGCACCATTCCTTTCTCCCATTCCCACTTCTCATGTCTACACATTTTTATCCCTTTCATGTGTCAGCCTTAGTGTTTGCCAAAGTTTCAATCTCTTAACTCAAGATAGCCTAAAGCCACCCACCATTTTGGTCAGGACAGTCATTAACCCAGCTGAAGACTACACCAACCTTGCAACGAGGGCTGCCGAGTACTAGAAGCGATGAATGAAAGTCAAGTGACAAAAGCACACACTAGAAAAGCAAAACTGTTTTTGACACAAATAGGCTATCAAATTATACACTCATTCAGTGATGTTTTCTTTTCTCCAATATAATTATGGGAAAACAGCTAAAGCAATACTATTTCTCTCAGTAGTAATCATCTTAAAGGTTTCCATGCTCCTCTTCAAAGGACCTTCTAGATCTTTCAGGTTTTGTTGTTAAAAGCTACAATAGTCCATTCAGAAATGCTTTATGTAAAATACTTGTACTCTATTTATCTTTGCTAAAAAACTGTTAACATTTGTTTACCCCTTGGTGTATAAGAAGGAAGTTTGTTAGCAACACGAGAGTTCACATCAGCAGCTAAATGGAGCTTTATGTCAGTAAACTGATATACAGGATAGTAGCAGTAATCTTTTTAAATGGTTACAAATTCAGAAATCAGAGAAAGAGAATTGTTTTAGGAAATGTGTACACTGCCTAGACAGACCACGAAAACCTTGCAAGTCAAGAGTTCAAAAAAACATTCAACACAGTATTGTCAAAATTGTCTTTGTCAGTTACAGCGATATAACTTGCAACAGCTGCATATGATTCAGTCTGTTAGCAATGTACTCGGCGATGAGAACAAAACAGCAGGAAGCTGCTTTGCTCCCTGAGAAGATTTGAGAGCCGGTGTCACTCTATCACAGTATGATAGAACCTGAAACACCTGTATCTCATAACACTTTAACAGCATAAGGGAAGTGCATTCTGGTTTTGCACCCTTTTCATTGACTTGAGCTTTAGGCTGTCATCAAAACAACTCTCCACCTGTCTACTCCCCCAAGTACAACCACTTCTTCAAACATGCTGACAAAAGAGGAACAGGATAAATTAGCTCTGGGCCAAAACAGAGCAAGCTAAAGCTTTTGCTTAAATACTTAATGAAAATTAAGCACTTCTGTGCCATCTTCAACACATCCGATCTACCAGAGTCTAATCCTTCCATCCTTTAAGTGGTGAGCACCACATTGTGGGCAGTATCTGTTAAAACAGCCTAGGTAAATAAAGCTGTAAGAGATTGCGCACATCAGGTGTCGAGTCTACTTGAGTTCTTCCAGAAGGAGATGTATACTAGATGAGTCTGCCTCAGGTTCCCTCTGCTACTGAAACTCTTATAAAGAAGTTGAGAGTACGCCAACAGAATGAACTGCTATTTTAAATTTCTTTGTCAGAAATGTATTCGTCTTATACTGCTAGGGTGCTCATTAAATAAAAGACAAGTAAATATTAACTCCTACATCTACAGACTATTATCAAAATATTGATGAGATGGTACCAGACAGGATGAATTTTTCTTTTTAAGAGCTACCAATTGCATTTCTGTAGTGCATTATTCTGGGCCTAAAGTGTGCTTACAATGAGTGTCCCAGGAAACACGGCCTCCTACGCAATGTGTAATATCTAAGTTTAACAAAGCGTGTATTAAGCAAAGGAAACAAGCTCTTTTAAATGTTTTTATTACAGAAAAACAGAAGGCTTACACTTGACTTAAAAAAGCAGCATTATTTCGTGAATTGAAAGTCAATACAGTGAAGTTGCTTTAAGAAACCTTTAGAGACTGAAAGAAAAAATAAAATGCCAGATCCCCCATCAGACAGCATTCTAGATTACTTGCATGACCACAGCAAAACCCTTAACTTCACATCACTTCTGACACCCAGTATATGACTTGTATGACACCCAGTATATGACTACTTCTCCCTGTGTCTTGTTGAATATAGCTGGGAGAAGTATTTGGTGAAAATGGCAGTACATTTCAAATTTAATTTTCAACAGTTCAGTACACATCTGATTAGTATTACAGTCCAGAAGTGACTGAGACACATGCTTTCCTCCTAACTGTAGCCATTAAAGTGTTACAGTTTTAACAGATCCTAGGGTGGTGATCTGTTTCTTACACAGTATTATATTCAGGTCTGTATCTCAGATTTCTCAGCAAGCTATTTGGCTACTACCGATTATAAACACAAACAAAAATAACCACAAAAATGAAGGCTCATAGTTGAAACAGTTCTTAGCAGTGCAGCAGAATTCAGAATTACTTTTTTTTACATGCCACAGAACACTGGAACAGCAGTGTTCCAGAGACCAAGTGCTTGAGTATTTTTATTAAGTCAAAAGCTGCAAGTTTCCAGCCTGAGCCAAAATTAAATATGTAATTGATCTGTAGTTGAAATCTTAAGAAAAGAGACAAATCAAGAAATCATATTACTGCCTTAACAGTCCTACATTTTGACCATCAGCACCAAATTGTGCTGAAGTCCAAAGAAATTGACAGGCTTGTCATTAAGCGAGTATTTTTTAAATAAAACTACAAGAACTCTACACCATATTAAAAAACTTTCTAAAGACGTTTTTAAACATCTCACTCTTCAAATCTATATGCTAAAACCACACCTCAAAGATTCTGCCAAAAAAAAATAAAAATGAAAAAGCAAGAAAACTCAAGTACAACTAGACATAATGACAAAAAATAAAAAAAGGCAATTCATAGAAGGAGAAAGAAGAAAACAAAAAGGGAAAAATACCTATATCAGAGTCCTGCTACTGAGTATCCTAGGAACTATTTTTTTTACCTCTCCTCCCAAAAGGAAAAGGTTTGACTCAAAAATCAGACATGGAATTTTTCTGAAAAAAATCCTAATCTCCTTAGATATTGTTTATATTGTTTGCTAACAAAAGTCTTTGAAGTCAGGCATCTATTTACTGTACTCTGCACTGTAACATGAAGCCAGCTGTTACCAAGCTACTTAAACAGAAGAAACAAGTTTCTTTTCTACAAGGAAAAAGTATGCAGAAAGTTTTCCCGGGTTATGATTTATATCATCAGGTCTACTCAAACACAGAACTTGTCTATTTATCCATGTTTTTGTTTAAAATCCCTTAATTTCGTGCTATAGCATAGTAATTTATTGTGTGATCAAGCTGCCTTATAAGGAGGACATTATATTCTGTATTATACAGTAATACAGCAAAAAAAAAAAAAAAAAACAAACCAAAAAAACAACCCAGCATAAATACTAAGAGGAAGAGCAACGTAAGCTTTGTTTCTGTGGTACTCTCTATGACACTGACACCAAAAGCTGCTTTACAGCTTATCCTTGGAGATTATAACCCTTGACACAAGTTAGTCCTTTTCAGTCACAGTGTTGTATTAAAAATGACTTTTATGATTAAAAAGGTAACAAAAGTGTATTATATTGACCAATCTCTATGAATGTTAATATTATAATCCATTAACTCCCTCCTTCAGAGTAGGTAAGTCTCAAACAAAAGTATCAAAACCAACTACCTCAAAGGTATGTAACAATCTGAATTAAACACTGTAAAACAAATTTACACCATTCAAAAAGCTTGTCATTAGAGAGTTATGCAAAATAGTCAGAAGGTGTTTTTATTTATGTCTTTTATCAAGTTGTACTGGGGATTCGGAAAACTTAAAAGATCATTTGCACTATAAACTTGTGTAAGCACTCATACAAAGCAATTTAACCGGCAATCATGTTCTAAAAGGTTCACAGAGTAGTTTTCCAGTATTTTTTTTGCTGCTAAAGCGCTAGTAAAGACTTAATTTAGCATGTAACTCCCACATCCTATATCAAGTAAACATTCTTGACTGCCAATAATTATTACATGGTAAAACAGTCCTCTAATTCCTAACAATTTCCCTTTCAGTTGAGAAAATATAAAAGTTTGTTGCTTTCCACCCCCCCTCCCCCCCCAAAAAATAATGTGCAACAGGTAGAAGACGTGACTTCTTGGAAAATGCTAAAATGTCTTTAGCTATCAGGCTCTGAAAGACTTTACAGATCTCAATCTTTCTTAGTTTTCAGCCTTAATTTTATATGAATGAGTGTTTACCTGGGCTACATTAGTAGTAGTTTACCACATACACCCAGGTCAAGTAACATCTCACTGCTCTGGAAATGAACAATTCAAAACTCTTAAAAAAAAAAAGTGTAGAATTGTACCTGCAAATTTCTTCCATTTAAATTTCTTTGTTAATCTATTAAAGAGACTATCCTTTTTTTTCCCTGTCAATTTCTGAGAAAATTTGAATACATGCAAGTCAAAACTACCATAATGCAGACAAAAAGGTCCTCTTTCACGAAGATCATTAATAAATGACTAACTTCAATAAATAAGTCTATTTGGAAATTCTAGAGAATTCTTTTGCTAAACAAGTTAGTCTTTTTTCTTTTCTATTATGTCTTTCTGTTTAAGCTCTCCATCTGAAAGTTCTGCGTATTTTCCGTTCTTTTCCTCCTCTTGCTCTTCCTCACTGCCTTCGTCCGTGAGCTCCTGATCACCGTTTTCCTTTTTAGCTGCCTCATGCTCATCTACCCCTCCATCTGTATCAGCTGTGCAGATTCCGTAACACATAATGCTGATGACCCCCAGGGGCAACCCAAAGAGAAAGCATCCCAGAAGTGGTGAACTCTTGAACACAGACTGTTGAAACACAAATTTGAAGTAAAAACACTTTCAGTGAATATACAAAATTACCACATTACTCCTCTTATTACTCTCTGTATTTATTCAGAAACATAAAAAATGAGAGAGTCAGGTTTTTTCAGTTTTTCTGTTTTGGATTTCTTTTTATTGTCAGAAAGGAGAAGTCCTCATTTTGACAATTCCTACTGTAGGTTCATTAAAAAAGACTTAGAAGTTCAAATATTACAATGTTGCATTGGGTTAGTCAATGTTAACATGCCAACTGTATATCCTATTCATTGTTTAAAGCTTCAGAAATAATTGTTCTAACAGTGTTCTAACACTTTGAAGCAACCTGTTTAATCTATTATTTGTGTCTCATTCTCAGAAATTAGTTTAAGTAATAAGAGACCTGCAGAAACATTCTGTTATTAGACAGCTTTCTGTTGAAGAGTAGTTTAATGGTACAGGAGGAAGGATCTTTTTATTTCAGAAACTGATGGCTAAATGTTGCACATTTACAGAAGTCTGGAAGCCACTCATATAGGAACATGTGAGTTTAAGTTTAAATTCACAGCAGAGGTTTTTTTGCTTGTTTAGGACAAGTGAAGAAATAGATTTGTGTACATCTTCCCAATAAAATTCTGTTAAGCGTATCTATAAGAAAAATTATAAAAATACTTGCTTTAAAACTACACAAAGCGTAGTTTTAAAGCCCCTTATGCTCTAATTAGACTGAAATCATAACATTTCTCAGAACATAAAAGTGCTATCAATTTCAGTGAAAGGATGGCAAAAGGGTCAAGGAAAAGATTTTGAATTCTTCCTGTTCTAAAATACATGTTAGGTTAATACAGAAAAGGAGTGAAAAATGAAGAAACTAACATATGTTCAATATTTAGCACACTGGAAAATATTATTAAAAACTTTAATCAATAAATTAATTTTGCTTAAATCTAAGTATATATACCTATAATATACACACAATATATACAATATAAACAAACTTATATAAAAATATTTCTAGACTCTCTGAAAATATTTGCATCTTGATTGACAAGGGCACCATCTAACGTAATTAAAAAAAAAAAAACAAAAAAAAAGAAAACCCAAAAAAGACTTACCACTACAGTGGACTTGGCATCATAGATTATTCTCTTGATTCGCTGCAGAAGCCCATCACCACCCTGTGCCTGAAATTTCAAATGGAACCATGTCAAAACTGCTGACACTTTTCAGTTATGATTCCAAAAGTTCATTCTTCAGACCTTGCAATCTTAAGTCCCTTTAGAAGGAAATGAAAAGTAATTATTCTTGCATCTCATGATGCCCAGATACTCCAACTTCTCAAGCATGGATAAACATTTCAATAGTCTAATGAAAAATTAATGGAGTCACATTCTGTATTGTCTGTCTTGTACTAGCACTTTCACACACATATAGAGATGTGAAGATAGACAGATCTTTAATCATCCTAGCTGAAATACTGTAAATAAAAGGTAGAAAAACCTAAGTGACACTATGGCAAAACCCATAAGGCATCAGAAACAAACTTCCTCAAAGTTAAAAAACAGATAGAAACCAATTTCATTTGCTGTTTCAACCAGAAGGATCTATTTAAATAGTCAAATAGATGTTGATAACATAATTCAATGCAATTAACAAAGCATTAAAAAGTAAGAAATAAAGAACAAAGAACCACCAAGTTACAGGAATACCCCTCACCTTGCAGACTGGAATCATGGCCAGTAAAGTCATGAACAGCAAGCAAATCCACCTGTATTATGCTGCTGCATCAATTTGACATATTAAATAAAGAACTCCATGTGACTGAAATGATCTACAGCATTACTTGTCATTACCACCTGATGATCTAAAACTACTGGCATAACGCAAAGAGGGATTCAGCTAACACAGTAAGCATTCAATATACAGTGAATTGGGGCTTAAACCAACATAGGCTTCTCCCAGAAGGTAGCCAAATGATTTTTTAGCACTGTCCACCCTTCATGGCAAAGCCTTCTTGCCCTGTAAGTGCAAATGAAAGCTCTGATCCATGATCTCTTTCCTCATCCACACAACACAGCCTTCTGTCCAACTTACAGTACACTGATGGAATAAGCAAACCTGAATTTGTTTTGCCAACATTAAAAAATTGTCCAAGCCATCAATTCCAGATGGATTTATTACTTCTGTTTTAACAAAAGACAGTTCATTTTTGTTTTAGAGGAGAGAGAGAAAAGGGGTAAGCTTGTGTGCATAATATGCAATACAAGTATACCACTGGGTTTGGAATATGAATCTATCATTCATCCAGCTATTGGACTTACTACTTTGCCACCCAAAAGAAAAGGTAGAGTTGAATTATGCACTATGAAGAAAATTTTAAACAAATGCACTTTAAGCAAACCAGGAGATGAATAAAAATTCTCCATTTACCACTGACACCAGTAAAAGGAGTATTAAGAGAAGTCAGATATCATTATGCTATAAACAAAAAAAAGCTTCCTTTCTACAAGAGGGTCTGCAGTCAGAACAGTGAGCAACAGCACACCTCAAGAATTCAGATTCAGATATTCACTGACAGCACCCAAGACAGAAAGACAAAACACATGGCTTAACAATCAGAGTAACCAAATATTTTCCCTACTTTAGCATCTAAGGAAATAAACACCAACATATTCCAAGTCACAATGAAGACTTACTTCAGCTGTACCATCCAAGATATTGTTAATAAACTGAACCATGTCTTCTGTGTTCTCAATGTGCCTATCTGGTAGAAAATACTGCTGATTGGAGGTATTCAATACAACAATAGTAGGGATTGTCAAGTCACTGGAAACATAAAACAGATAGTTTATACATTTGAAGAACTACTGTGTAAAACACCACAATTCAAATAATTCCTACATGATTTAAAAGGGTATCCATTAATCTTCATTACATGTGTGTTCCTTCAAGTCAAGAGGGAATGAGGAAGAGAATCACCTGAATAGTACAAGCATGTTTCTCACTAATATTTTTTCCTTCACATCTGTGTCAGTGACATTATTGAGGCTTACTACGTTTTACACACAGTGACTGCAAATCAGGCACCATACAACTTGCCAATTGCTAAGAGATCACAGACAGTAGCCTTGTATATGAAATGTACTATTAGCACAATACATTAAATGTTTTAGTGCACAAAGGCAAAAGTATAACCCAAAAATTCAATCCCATACAGCCATGTTCCAACTGATAAGCTCCATCAATCAACCTCTATCTGCCAAGTCAACAGAATAAGCCACACCAAAGTTTTTCTACATTTCTTTTAGATATGGAAGATGAACTACAGACTTTTTAAACAATTATTACTCAGCGTTTGATCTTCACATGAATAAGCATTGTTTAGTATCACAGACTCAGAAAGAAAAAAAAAAAAAAAAAGCTAAGAAATTATCTCTGGAGATAAACCAGTATAATCTACTGTTCAAAGTAGCCCTAAATTCAAAATTAGATGAGGTTTAAGAAAAATTAATACTGTACAAGTACACTGTTGAACAAGAGATTTAAAATACATTCAATAAGGTGAAAAATCTCCTGTACTCTGTCAATTTTCTACAGTTTTGTCAACAATGAACTTAAATACTAGGTGGCTTTTGTTCACACCAGAAGCAATGCAAACCCTGGTTTTCTACATTTTCCACTCTTATCTAATAGTGCCCCATCCATGCACATTTGTAATCCATGTAATGTTGGTGACTATTTCAACCTTAACTGTGGCTATCAATCCATAATCAATTATTTCATAAAAATATTGTTTAGCACCTACTCAGGATTTCCATTTTTTCTTTAAAGTCATAGAAATTATTCAAAATTTTCTCACACATTTTAGGTTTGTTTGTTTGTTTAATTTAAATTCAATTCCAAACCTAGAAGTGAACAAGTTTAATACTTCTACATTGAAATTTTCTAAACTCCTAGAAAGCTGAATACATGAAGGCTTAGGGTACAAACAACATTCCCAGTACTCAAACTGAAAGTATAGTGGCACCTCAGAAAATGTAAGGCCAACTACAGCGATAACAAAGTAATTTCATCTGTTTAAAGGAACTGTAAAAAACCAACCACACAACAAAACTTTATCAACAGTGACAACTTGCTACACAGACACCTCTAAACACATTTTTCCCTTTGTTCTCTATTTATTAGGAACAAACAAGAAATATAAGTAGGAAGCAATCAAACCAAGCCAGATGTTTTTGCAAGTGCCTGGTAACAAGTTACCAACCTCTGCCAAAATACCTCCTCCCAGGCAAAACAGAACAAGTTTTATTATTTGGATGCAGAAAAGATCCCCCCATGCTCCCCCAAAAGCCCAAAACGTGTTTCTATTGCATTTCAGAGTCTGGTAACTGAAGTTCTTGGAGTTGGCTGTAGAGCAGCTGAAAGATAAACTCCACATACAAATTTTATATACTCTACAAAGATTCAAAAAAACACGTTAATATGTTTCTTCTTAGAGTTGAGGATTTAATGCTCTGCATACACCTACAGTTGACATTCCAATGATGTTATATACCTTAGCTTACACAAAGATCTATCTTTAATTTCAGTAGAATACATATTATGCACAAGAAAAGAGTTTTAACTATACCATTTTGAATCCAAAAAAAAGCATGTTCATGCACTGCTGAAGAGAGAGATAAATTATAAAGTCTACTAATAAAGTTACAGCCAGGTCCATAACTGTACTTCTGTTAGGGACTACTACTTCTATCCCCAGGAACCATACAATGTTTTGTCTTTTGTGAAGAAACAGAATTTGTTCCTATGTGCATCTAGCACAGTAAAAAAGTATTCTGCAGTAGATTTCTCATTATTCAGGATGCTTTTTCTGTTTCCACCTCCTGCCATCTAGTGGAAAACTGAAGCACTTGCAACACAGTTTTAACTCGAATTCAAATGGCCGCATGAAGAGCTGCTACTTACAACACTGAACATATTTTGCTGCATTCTTTCACTGCTTTCCACTTATGCTGGAAATGTATATGCTCTGTTTAGAAAATAATTAAAAGCTTTTGAGTACTTTAGCAGCAATTTCCCATATGCTACAAATTAAAAAATCAGGCATTTTTCAGATCAAGTTAAACAATCCAGCTGAACAGATGCTGCCACTAGATCACCACCACTGTAAGCAGCAATTCTGTCTTCTTCCCCTTCATTTTCTTCCTCCCAGGGACCTCATCTCCTTTCCCTGCTTCTTTGCACATCAGTTCTGGTACTCAACAGAATACACAGGAAAACATTTAAAGGGTTTTGTTGGATCAGCAAAATAATACCCCTAACTTGCCTAGCCAAAAAAGCAAACACTTTTCTGCCAGATAAACAGGCTGGAATAGCTCAGCTGACAGTCAGACTTCAGAGCCTGCACAGGAGAAGCAATTAGTGAATTGAGGAAGGTCTCACTTTTGTCAACTATAAAGCACTAGATCAATCACATCACTTAAGCTTCATTTGAGAGGCAGCTGTTTTTAAAGTAACTGTATTCAGGTGTTAATCTACAGCCATTCCTCAGAAATACAGGCCTTGTGCCTCCTGAGTCCCCATGAAGCTCCTAGAACCTTCAGGGGCAAACACACATGAGTTGTTCATGCTTTGATCCTCAAGAAAGGTGTTTCAAAAACTTAGAGCTGGCATATCAACCCCTGTTTTTCCCTTCTTTCGCTCAAAAAGGTCAGAAAACAAGACATTAACTGTAAATGCCAAGCAACTTCAATCTTTAATTACGCATTTTTAGACAAAGATCATAGGAGCAAGTGTCAAGCATGTTGTTAAACTACTTATATATTTCAAAATGTACCATGTACAAATCAAGTGCAGACAGCATCTCCCATGCATTTTATGCTGCTTCTCTGCGGAAATGTATTTCTGTGCATGTCTTAAAAAATGCTTCAAGAATGGAATGTTTTTCTCCAGAAATAAAAAACAGAGGTTATGCATAACCATTATTTACATTTTCTGTTACAAACTGACATAGCTTATAAATGTCTGGGACCCTGTAAATTTAACAATGGAAAAACATCCCACCGTTGTAATAATCAATTTAACAAAGTAGACCTAAAAGATAAGCTTTGTCAATCAGCATTAGCAGTAAGTCAAACTTCTTACACTAAATTATGAGGTTTAATGAACAACTGATACTATGTTACATACTGAATTCTGAGGAGGACAGCAATTTTTTTTTTAACCCATGAAAGGCAGGAATTCTTCGTAAGATTTTTTTCAATTAAATATACTTAGCAACAAATAAAAGAGAAGGAAGAATATTAAAATAAAAAATTAAATATTTACTTACTCCATTAGTAAACTATTAATGTAATCATTTCCATCCATATGGCCAAACTGGAAATCCCTGTAAGAGAAGCAGTGAAAAGCAGAATGATGAGAAAGAAAACAGAATAGTGGGTTTCAGCAAAAGTTCTTCCTTAAATATTTTTCCTATAACTGAAGATGAGAGCACACACTGAGTAATATAATTTAAAAACTGACGATCTACAAGACAGTGAACATCCCAAAACACACTCAGTTAACGGAATGGTCTGATTAAATGTCAGTATATGAATATAAAACCAGAATTATAACATTTTTCATTGGGGGTGGGGGGTGGGGAAGAGGGAAATGACTGTTGTCTCAGAAACACAATCTTAATGTTATCTTAGCACAAGTTCATTTAAGATAACATAGTACCATGTGTGCTCACCTGTGAAAGTGATCCCGATAATCTCTAGCAACTTCCTGAATAATAGATTTTAGTCTGAAGGGAAAAAAAGTGACATTGATAATCCAGGATATCCAGGATATTGTGCCAGAACACAAATAATAAACATTGATATTTCCCCAGTAAGCAGCCAATAGTACCTCATCAACAATAAGAATTCCCTATTCCATTAACAAAAACCATCTTGTTCATCTTGCTTGGTTTCTAAGGGTTGAAAGGCTATCTACTGCGTAGTCTTAACATGAGAAACACACAGACAAGTTAGGCTGCTTCACTCCACCTCTTGCCTTATGAAACTGCAGCACTGATACTCTGAAGAAAATACAAAGACCAGGAAAATAGCACATGCAGTATTTGAACAATATTTTCTTAGTCTAATTATGTAGGCAATCAGAAAGGGACAGGGGAAGGTCTTGTTCCTCTCAGTCTTTTCAACAAAATTCAACTCAACTGAAAATGCTCCTTCTTAATATAAGTTCCACAGGCATCTAATATATAATCATTGCTAAATTAATTTTTAATGTGAGGTGAAGAACAGTCATTTGTTTAAGCGTACTAAGGTCATCTGAACTCAAGTACTCTCATCTATGTTTAAAAGGTGACACAATAGCTTTGAAAAGCTATGCAATCACTGGTCCCGTGATCTCATTAACAAATGGCAGAAGAGTGATACAGGAACTCCCACCATCTCATTGAACTCACATTAGGTATATTCAGTAGGCTGAAGTCATAAATTAGGGAACAGCCCCAAGTTAAAACCATTAACTTAACCCAGCATTTCTTAATATCTAAGAAACCTTTAAGGTTCTCTATGTCATACCAGCACCTTTCTCCCAGAGTGTCACCAACACTCAGTTCTGTACCTGGTATGTTCCACTGAAGAGTTTTTATCATCAATGACTGCAATAGCCACAAGTTTTCCTAAAAGAAGGAATAAAATACTTGGTAATTTGAGGAACTGTTAGACAAAAATGTAACAGGAAGAAATATGCTACATTTAAACAATTTGTAACAGCACTTCTGTAAATAACTTTTTAAAATATAGCTGTAAATATTTCAGAAACATGTAGGAACCTGGATGCTTCATAATCTTTAAAACACGAAAAACTTGATGTTGCATTAAATATAAACTTCCTTTTGAAATGGAATGTATATTGTAATGTATCCTGGCCTGGAAAAATCAACACTTACTTTCTTCTGCTACTTCAGAGTATGTATACCTTAAGAGCAGTACAAGTCATCTCCCTATTCCAGAAGTCACTTGGCTGCAGTGTTTTCATCTGACTTGCAAAAAATTTTACCAGAGGAAAGTTAAAGCATTCCAGGACAGGTCCACTTTGGTACATGCTCTCCTCCCTTCCTTACCATATATGCCTTAAAGATATATGAATCCATTAGAAACAAGACATATCTAAACCCATCCATATATGACACTTCTAAATCCAGTCATGAAATTCCCTGTAGGTATTCCAAGAGTTAATATGTAATTTATGCAAAACCTAAGCTGCTCTTAAATACTAATTTTTGTGTTGTGAGGAAAGGACTAGTGTAGACTGTGGATAAAGCCTCTAGTCAGTACAACAGGTCTTATCAACATCAAAAAAAAAAAGATTGGCACTATCAATTGTGAGATTAATTAACTTTTGAGGTTTAAAATCCACATTTTTAGTGCTCTTTAATTTTTCTTGGTGTTAAGTACAAGAGGTGCCAAAGAGCTTAGTGGTAGCAGCATCTCACCTGTATCTCCTAGTTCATATAGCGTAAAGCCATCTACATTAAGATAACCTTGAAATCTTTCTCTATTTATCCAGGATGACAAATCACCATCTTCATACTCTGGGGGGAAAAAAAAACAAACAAAACAAAACAAGAAAACAAAAAACCACCACATTAAAAATTTGTTTTTGTAAAGTGGGCAATCAGATTTACTTCTTGTAGTACTATACAGGCAAATGCTATTTTTTCCCACCCTTTTTTCTTCTATTAAACAAGATCTCACAAATTTCTGGACATTTCTCTTTGGTTTTACAACTTCTAAAGCTATTTTCAATTGTTGAACAGAAGGTAAACATTTTATAGCAAAGCATGAAAAGCTGGTTTAGTGATTATTTATTCCTAAATCAAGGATAAACAATACTATTCTACAAATGGGTTCCTCAGGGGTCTGTATTAGGACCACCACTGTTTAACATCTTTGTCAGCAACAGACAGTGGGACTGAGTGCACCCTCAGCAAGTTTGCTGATGACACCAAGCTGTGTGATGCGGTGACACGCTGGAGGGCAGGGATGGCATCCAGAGGGACCTGGACAGGCTTGAGAGGTGGGCCTATGCAAACCTCATGAAGTCCAACAAGGCCAAGTGCAAGGTCCTGCACATGGGTCAAGGCAATCCCAAGCACAAATACAGGCTGGGTGATGAGTGGATTGAGAGCAGCCCTGTGGAGAAGGACCTGGGAGCAGTAGTGGACTCAAAACTGACCGCGAGCCAGCAATGTGCTCTTGCAGCTCAGAAAGCCAACCGTGTCCTGGGCTGCACCAAGAGAAGTGTGGCCAGCAGGTTGAGGGAGAGGATTCTGCCCATCTCCTCTGCTCTTGTGAGACCTCACCTGGAGTGCTGTGTCCAGCTCTGGGGCTTCCAACATAAGAAGGACATGGACCTGCCCAAGTGGGTCCAGAGGAGGGTCAAGAAATGATCAGGGGGCTGGAGCACCTCCCCGTGAAGACAGGCTGAGAGAGTTGGGGTTATTCAGCTCAGGGAAGAGAAGGCTCCAGGGAGACCTTACAGCAGCCTTCCAGTACTTAAAGGGGGCTACAGGAAAGGTGGAGAGTGACTCTTTATTATGGATTGTAGCGATAGAACAAGGGGTAATGGTTTTAAACTGAAAAAGGGTAGATGTAGATTAGGTGTAAGGAATAAATTCTACACTGTGAGGGTGGTGAGACATGAACAGGTTTCCTGGAGAAGTTGTGGATGACCTCTCCCTGGAAGGGTTCAAGGCCAGGTTGGACGGGGCTTCGGGCAACCTGGACTAGTAGAAGGTGTCCCTGCCCACGGCAGGGAGGTTGTAATGAGGTGATCTTTAAGGTCCCTTCCAATCCAACTCAAACCATTCTATGATTCTGTGAAGGTAGCCATGACCCCATGCAGAAAGGAACAGTTTCAATCCCTGTTTTTAAAGGGTGGGGATCAAGTTTCAAACCAAGTAAAAATATACAAAAATATAGAAATCAGTATTTGCGAGTCCTAAAATTAAATAGTAAGAAATAAAGAAAAAAGTAGATGTATTAACAGCACTGTGAGTGTAAATGAATAAGTATTTACATATAACTCAGAATTAGTTATACTGAAGGCTAGTTTCAGATGTTAGATGTTTTAACCTCTAAAGAATCAAATTCTAACACATACCACCAACACTATTATAATTAGGTCTTAATCACAATTAAAAAGAAAAATGAATATAAACATATATATGCATCATATATATATATACACATATATAAATGTACATTAAACAAATAAATCTGTGTTAATTCCTGTTGTATATAGTGAATTATCAATAACTTCAGGTTAACAATTAATTATCTTAAGATTGCAGCAAGCAATTTCAAGCATAAAGCTTCTCATAGATCTGCATCCCATTGCCCTACTATGGGGAAGAAAAAAAAAACAAAACAAAAAAACCAAAACCACTAGACAAGGCCAGAGCATTGAAATGGATTTTGCTAAAGCTTTTTCTTATAGTGAGCTCTTCAAATTTCTGCCTAATCATAACAGTTGCACATATAACCTTTTCCAGTCTCTTATACTGCACCTTCATAACTTGTTTGTTTTAAAATAGTGTTTCTAGTACTTTATAAAAGACTAACATTTTTTAAAAAGTAAATTAGAAACCTCAATTACTAGAAGTTTTGCGTTTGTTTTGAAAGCTGTGGAAAAAGCAAGTGGGCCACAGAGCAAAAAGAAATTCAGAAGTGTTTCTCTCTGACAAGCTTTCCTTCTCCAGGCCCATATTAAAAAAAAAAAAAAAATCAAATGCAAACCAATGAGGCTGTAGAGTAAATTTTTATCTGGAGGATGATTGGTTAGGCAAGACACTAAAGGGAAAGACAAGTACAACCATTCTGTGAAATCACAAAGCATATCTTTGATGGCCCATCTGGAATACTTTGCTGTGGTATTACAGATCCTCAGAAATTAAAACAGCAGAATAATCTTCTGAGTAGTATGTTTTCAACTTAAAGTAAAAGTGTGCATTTAAAAAAATCTGAATCAAGCACAGATATTTTTGTATAAGCTGTGTACCTATAAGCCAACCCATGATATGCAGTGTAAGTACATGTGTGTACATGCATCTAACAAACTATAAAGCATGGGCTGTACAGTATAGTCTGAGTATAATCTAGAACTTTTATATGGATATCCATACATACGGATATAGACTTTTTATATACATGGCAGATGTACTGCTTTCAGTGGTATTATGAATCATTACTAGTTTTAGGTAGCCATTCTATAGCCTACGTGCTGAACAAAACAGTAAATGTAGTTTATAGAGCGTAAAGCTGTGTATCAATGGATTCAGTGACATTAGTCCACATCTCTTTAACCTCTTTGTGAGGGACACTTTCAGAAAAGGAGAAACAGACTAAAAGGTCAACAGTTTTATGTGTGCACAGTACACTTCATCAGTTATATAGGGCAAGGTTATGCCATCTGATCCCTTCCCACTACCAATATGTAAGTAACACAAACATGGAAGTCACATAATGCTCATAGCTATCAGTTAAGGCCCTCTAAATTGTAATAGTGGGAATAAAGGCAGAACCAGCTTTCTGTTCCTTCACAGTTTTTGAAGCAAGACTTGCTGCATATAGCCTATATTGTCAAGGCACAAAAAGTTCAAACTGGACCCTTTTATGCTATCTGCGAGCACAGTACACATCTGAAAAATATCAAGTTAACTTCAAGAGAGAGGTATCTGACTGTCAGGAAGAGCACTTAGAGAAAAATCTGATTAACTGCTTGGAATTGTAAATTCATTTTATGCATGACTCCTCTTCAGCAAGAGTTTTCTTCTATTTTGTATATGATGAATTTGGACAGTGAGTGAAGGAGTAACTTTTATAAGTGCATTAATGCCAGAAAAACAATAATATTCGAAGGTATATCTTACTGATAACACAAAGCAAATGTCATAACTTCTAATTCAGTATTGCTAAAACTAATTCCTTCTCAATTCCTGCATTTTGTTCCATAAGAATTAGGGGTTTTTCTCTTCTCCTTCATGAAGGAGCTGTTATTTATCATAAAACTGGGGAATTTCCCAACACCTCAACACAACCTTCAAAAAGATCCCAACTGTTCCAGTTTCTCCATATATACTTTAAATATCTTGTCTTAAGGTAACATTCACTTTTACTTACCATCATAAACAAAGTAAGTTCCATCTTTGAAGACCACAACAGCAGGCAATTCAGGCAATGTCACGTACTGAAAGAAGTGGTTTTCAATTAATTCATGGAAGATAAAATATTTTTAAACAAACAAAATCTTAAAATGTGGAAATGTAGTCCATGGGTAAAATCTCAAAGTACATTTAAATGTTTTCTGTCTATGCTTACTAAATTTATCAGCTTATGCATATTAAAAAATAACATAACATAAATGTATTTTTGAGAGGTAGGTCTCACAAAGTGTAAATAAAGCAGGATTTTTACTAGTATCTGCAGTAGCATGAAGAATATTTTATTGATTGGACATGAACTTTGGATAGGAGTTTGTAACTTGAGGGTTTTATCAACCATGCTTTCTGTTCCCAGTTTGTGCTGTTGGCAGCATACCCATCATACCGTTACTTCTACTAAATGGACAGTCAATATTGTAGAGTAAAACAGTAACATTGATAACATGTCCCACTAAATCTGGGCTATTTCCTGTGGTTCAGGCACATAGGAATATAAAAGACTGCTTCAGCAGACAAGGCTTCAAATACTCCTAATTTAGGCAAACAGAACAATGAATGCCTTCATTGCCATCCTAAACATGTTATTTAGCAACATACTCAAAAGACCCACAAGGTATAGAAACATTTCCCTTAGAACTTAAAAGAATCTTATTCAGCTTATGTTTTCAGTAAACTGCCACAGAACAAATATTGCACTGACTCCTTAGTGCTTGCCACTATTCTAAGTTAAAGTTCTAATAGCATTTGTGGTTAAGAAAGGACTGCATCATGAGCTTAGTTTTGATGATAATGTTGGCTGAAATGTCTAATTTACTGATATGTCTGGGAAACACAAGAACAGTACCATGAGTGCTTTTCCAAATGACATGCCTTCTACAATCACTCTGCATTATCTTTCTTGGAAATAAATGTAAAAGCAGTAGGTTTATAATGTAACAGCTTGTATGAATGAGCAAAAAAGAAGGTAAGAGAATAAAGTGTCATCTAGAATTATTTGCCCAAAACCTAGTTTAGCATCTTTAAAGGGCAAATCAGTCTCTGTACAGCTTATGGCTTACCAAAGATGCGTGAAGCTTGGAATAAGATTACCTAAGGTGATAAACCAAACCCTAACCGTGCATACTGTCATCCAAAGCCTCATTACAACTAGCAACCAGCAATTTCATAACATCTTTGCTTCTCTCCACAGAACACTGTACACCATTGCTACTTCAGTTTAAATTACATTTGTGGAAAAATACATTTAGTGGAAAAAACAGCTCACTGCTTACATCACTGTGATCACAATCTCAAAGAGTTTGAGCCTTTTACACTCTTTCTACTGCACAAGTGAACAGTACTTTTCTTGCTCAACTGGGGCTGAAGTACAAACAGCAATATTCAAATTGAGGTAGCATTTGATACAAGGCTTCTGGAAATCTAACTATACATTATTTTTAATGAGGCCAGTTCTACTTATGATGTTGGAAAATGCAGGTGCCTAAAAAAATAAATTATGCTAGTTCTCACCCTGCTAGTCTCAAACTAATTTCGAAGTCATGCGTTATCAGGCATGAAGTAGACTTAGGTCCCACTTGGAGATAACAATAAATGAAAAGGCCTCCTGATTTTGCTTCAGTATATAAGCAACAGTGGTTAGACTAACAACAGTAGAGACAACTTTTTCCACCCTCGTGATTAACTGCCAATAATTTCCTTGTTACAGAATCATCCAAAGAGCCACATGAGAATTCTACAGCCAGTAGAGTGGATCAGTTGTTCCCTGGGCAGACTAATGTTTTGATCAGCTGTACTGCACAAGGTGAAAATAACTTACCTTTTCACTTACTCCTCTGATTATTAGGGCACCAGTGGTACTCCATGCCACAGACCCCCAAAGTAGTTATAAAAGTGGTTGCGAAAGTGCTGTCAGGAGCAACAAGAGCTCTGCATTGGCTAAAAAACAAACTATCTACCTTCTTGTGCAGGATTTACAGTCAACGTTGAGTTCTGCATATCTTCTGTTTAATTTTCTGAATACAACTGAACAAGTAATTTGGCCAATACAAAGCAGTAACAGACTGACTCTTGGTTTGTATTCTTTCCCATACAGATTCAAAAATTAAATGTTTCAGTGTAATGAGTTTGAAATTTATCAAAGCCAAATATATTTTAAGAAGCCATCTCTGTGCCATTAAAATTACATATATGAGAACTATGTCATTTCTGTGGAAATAGTAGGAACTGACACAGCTTACCTCTGGCAGCACATCTTCTGAGGCAGAAAAAAAGTACGTATAAACTATTAGTTCTGAAGCAACTTCAATGTATTTTTCCTGTGAAAACACAAACAATGCTTCTTACATTCTGAACTTTTACTGTGCTTCAAATGAAAGTTTTGTGACATACCTTATCTTTAAAGAGTAATTAGAAAATATGGTTATGAAACAAGATTGTAAAAACACTTAAGTAAATGTAAAAAAAAACAGGAATTTATTACAAGCATGCGCTTCAGTCTTTTAGAAGATACTTTAAACTACATCTCTGAATAGCCAAAATAAGTAACTTTATTTAATCAAGCTTCAAACCTTTAAAGGAGATTCACCACCAACATACACAAATAGTACACGATGTCTCTTTTGCACATGCTCAAACATATGCTGACTAGGAAGTGGTCTGATAAGAGGTCTGGGAAGAAGGAAAAGAGAGAAAGGAGAACCTCAGTTTCTTAAAGGTGCAAAACCCAAACAAATAAAAATCCCCCCAAAAATGCCAGAGTATTTTGTGGGTTTTTTAAAAAAAAAAAAAAAAACAACAAACAAAAAAAACACCACCAACAAAACCTTAATTCCCCTATGCAAATCCATTGAATTTTTCAATTTATTATTTCAGTTTCAACTAAAAGCAAAAAAACCTAAAAATCCCCCCAAAATAAACTTGTTATGTTCCTCAAACAGCACACTTATATTCGAAATTAATATCTTAGTACAAAATGCTGCTATGATGTAAACATGCATGCCATTTACTGGCCACAGAATCATACAATGGTTTGGATTGGAAGGGACCTTAAAGATCACCTATTTCCAAGACACCTTCCACCAGCCCAGGTTGCTCCCAGCCCCGTCCAACCTGGCCTTGAACCCTTCCAGGGAGGGGGCAGCCACAGCCTCTCTGGGCAACCTGTGCCAGGGCCTCACCACACTTCTAGCAAAAAATGTCTTCCTTATGTCCAATCTGAATCTACCTTCTTTCAGTTTAAAATCATTGCCCCTTATCCTGTCAGTACAGGTCCTGATGAAAAGTCTCTCTCCATCTTTCTTATAAAGTGAAAGGCCACAACAAGATCTTCCCAGCCACAGTAACACCTCAGTTATTTGAGAGACAAAATTCTGAATGTAAGCACAGCAGTTAGAAAACGTGGTCTTGGAAATAATCTTACAAAATTCTGGTAAATTAGAGATCACTGATATGCCTAATCTACAGAATTTTGAACAATAATTAGTATTATGTAACTACATGAATGCTTAATTATATTTAAGAATGAAGGAAAGAAATGCAATTCTTTTTTCTTCCCAGAGACTACTGTCTATAACATTTTGAGGCCACGTGCCACTATAGGAAAGGAAGAAAAGCCAAGAGAAATTGTTATGAACAATTCTGTAAAAGCAATTTCCTTATGTTGCCAAATGCTGCAACTTTTCAGATGCATAAGTATATATTAAACTGATATTTCTAAGATAACTTTTGAATATTAAACAGATTCTGCCTTATTAATGATATCTGTCTATCAGCCAACATTTAGGTCAGTATTTTTGGTTTTGGCTTCCATGAGTTTCATTTGTTCATAGTTTCCACTACTTTGAAAAGCCTTCTTGCACTGTGAAGAAGGGATTGTGACTAGCCAGTCTCTACTTACTTTCTCCATGGACACCCACTCACCAACAGTTTCACAAGCACGTGTACAGCACATACAGTTTTTCACTTCATATCAATGTCTGGTTCTTTTAAAAATAGATTTAGTTTTTGGCTCACCTCAAAATCCTACGGAAGTTTTAAATCACCAGAGCCAGTCTCACAGTATACTTACCCTGCCACTCTATTAGCAAATTCAATTATATCATCTTTGGTTCTAGGTCCTCTATAGTTGTATGCTAAGTCACCTTTTAAGCTAGATAAATAGGAAAAACAAAAAAAGAACAGATTTGAAATCAACTAAACTATATCTGCACATGTAGAACTACTCAATCTTCACAGGTTTATTACAGTGACCTTTTAGCAAGAGTTAAACAAGCTAATTTTTCCAATAGTCATACAAATAAATGGTCAGAAAAATATAAAACTCAATATTGCAATACAACGCAATTATTGTGTAAATAAGTTTTTACTCCATATCTGATTTACTAACTTTTAAAAACAATTAACATGTTTACAATTGCTTTTTTCTAAGTGACAGCAGTCATTTACTTTGTAAACACACAGATCATTTGGAATATTTGCTCATGACCATACAAAAAAACTGACACACCCAAATCAAACCCCAAACCTTCAGCATTTATACAACTTTCCTTGTAAAAGACAAACATATAAACTTATTTACTGCTTTTTTGTAATTGAAAAGTATCAAATTACATGCAAAACCTTCCGAATTTATGTATTAAATTAAGCTTCCATGAAGTGTTGGTCAGTTTACTGTAATCCGCTGACAGGGGATGTAGCATGCTTGCTTTTTAAGAATACTCAAGGAAATTTTACTAATTCTAACAGGCTTTTTTTGAATCTATGTAGGTTTAGGAAACTTACAGGAAAAAAGCAATGATAAACCAAATTTTCTATGATAATATGTCAATGAAGTTTTTCATCCTTAAAGATAAATAAGCTAAACATCTCTGCTGCCTTTTTGAGAAAACTAACTTGTGCAAGATTTATTATATATTATGAATACTATTTGCTTAAACAATAATCTGCTAACAAATCCAATACGTTCATAGTAAAAAGTACTCAAAATCATTACATCTTTATTTAACATGACCTTGTACTAGACTATACACTATATGAGTTATAAGCAAGTATGTATATCATTATGGACCGGTATTTGCTTGTAAATTTTGTTCTGCAATGGATACAATTTTTAATTATGTGAAGAAAAAAAAAAAAATCTACACATACTTCTCTTGTCGAACAACTGCTCTCACACTCACCCTATATAGTAACCACTACTGCCATTTACATTAGATATTCAGGTACACTGAAGAGAGGTAACTAAAAATAAATTGCAGTCAGCAACGCACAAAAAGTTAACAGAAGACTCACGTATGCAATTACTGCCAGAATCACTCTACATGTGTCAATTGGTGCATGAAATCCCTTTTAATAATTTTATATATTTGAAAAATATACTTATATATACACACTTTTACAAAATTGCATAGAAAAAGGCAATTAATTCCAAATTTGCTAACTTGCCTTTAAGAATTCTGTTTCTAAATAAGATGTTTGATATTACCGAATTTCAAAGCAAAACAGTCCAGTAGAAATCAAAAATAACATGAAAAAAATGAGATGGAGTATTTTTGGTTCTTTTTTGGTGGGTTTTGGGGCTTTTTTGTGGTTTATTTGTTTGGGATTTTTAGGTGGATAGGACAGGGTTTTTTTCACTGTAATGAAGTCAGTGGTACAATAGGTAACTGTTAGAAATTCAATGGGAAGCATCAACTTACAGCTTAATTGTTGGATAGCCTCGCACTCCAAATTCAGATGCGATACCTGAAAGAAATGTGTTAATGCCAAAGTGAACCAAGACTTTCTTGCTCTCCTACCTTAAACAGTTTACTATTCATGCCACGTAAATAAATGAAAAGCCTACCACTTAGTTCAGTTTGAATTATTTTACTTGCTTTCAAGTAGCTGCTGTTATGAAGCTACATCAATAAATTTTGGATCTCTTTCAGAGATACCGCAGGGTCCCAGCACAGGCTCTCAATTCATATGCCCCAAGTCAAACGGCATGAGAATCCTCTAAATAGACATGCTTGGTCAGTTTTCACCAAAAGGTAGTATGCATTTAATATACACATACAATTTGTTGAAAACATCAGAGGCAAGAATGAAGCACCATGGATGTAAATACTAATGCTTAAAAGAAATATAGAAAACAACTAACTACTCATGCTATAGTACTGGATAACAACAGAAGTGAAGTATCATAATGTAATAGTTACAAAAATGTAATTTTGTAATGCATATTCTGCAGAGGTAAATGTCTACAGCCATCAGTTTCACCAGAAATAGATACATTATAATCAGTCAGTTACTTACCTGCTGCTTACTAATGTGGTAAAAAGACAATTGCAGAACTTTTTCCCCCACCTGATGTTTAAAAGCTTGTATCTTTCTCCCATCAGTTAGAGTACAATTTGCAACCACCCTTCCAGCTGAGAACACAGCAACCACCACCTTAAACTACACTTTCAGTCAATTCAGTGTTTTCCAAAAGTTAAACTAAGTAGTCTTCAAAAAAGGCTAAAATAAAGTCTAAAATTCTGACAATGCTTGTGCAATTCCCTACTGAAAAAACACCCCTGCAATTAAAATGCACCAAGATTCAATACTTTTTACATAAGCATTCTGAAGCTACCAACTACATGCCAAAAGAGCAGATGTGGGAGGACTTGTGCACAGGGCTCTGAATAACAGTATAGCAATTGTGACTCTAAGGTTGTTGGCCTGGATCAAAACCACAGTTGCACAGAACTACAAATAAAACTAGCTGCACACCTACAAGCGCCTTAGTCAAAGGAGACTGATCTAAGAAATACCCACAATAGCATCAATTTGATTCTGATCCTTTTGTCTCACAGCTGCACTACATAGAACTAAAATGCATTAAAATGTGTATTAGAACATTCAATCGTGAGAGTTGTTGACAGGCTATTAATTTATCCTTGTACAGCTCTTGAGCACAGTCAGGAAAACTACAAAATAGACTTTTTTAAATATAATTTTTTAAACATCCTAGCCATGGAGATTACTAAAATCCTCTCAACATCATGGAAGTGACTTATTTACATCACCACCTTCACCTGCTGATGTGAAGAATGCAATGTAAGTGAACAGTGGCAATTATGCTAGCCCCAGGTGTGATATATCTCTACTTTGATCACATTCAGTGGACTTCTGAGGCTAACCCCCATGAAAATTCAACCAATTCCACACCGGGTGACAGTTCTGTTGAATGAACTGCTCTATCTTTATTCCACACGGCTACCAGGGGCAACACTTACTGGGTGCTTTGTATGTTCAGCTGTGATCTCAACTCCCTGATGACAAGCTACCCAAAGTTCAGATTTCTCACACTACTTCACATTTTTATTAGGAACACAAACTATGCAGAGCTTTCCTTCATGTTCCTTCCTAGTTACACGTGTATGTCCAGCTGCATTTTCTGCTGATATTCTCAAGACTGAATTACTTGGATTTCAGAAAATCTTTAGATTAGGAAGACATAAAGCAGAATTGACTGAGCTTTGCATATCCAGATGTTGCAAAATTTACACTTTCAAAATAAAAGCATGAAGCTATTTCAAAGGATTTATCGGACTCTATTCTTCATAAAACTGGTAACAAATCTGAGAAGAAAAACATTCCCAATTTTGAAGTTACCTGGTTCCATGATCTTGAAGCTTTTAATTCTCTAGACTTATTTTCTTTAGCAAATTAAGTATCTTTAAGATGAAACATACGGTCAAATTTATGTGGTTTTACAGAAAAAGCTACATACAGCTGGTATTTGAGACAAGATTATTTTGGTCTCAAAAGACCAAACTCTGCTATATATAAGCCCAGAAAAACTGGAATATCACTGAAAAAAGCATTCTGCATAATATTTTACGCAAATATAACAATCCTGAATAATCAAGGTTTAACAGGTATTGACTAAAACCATTATATGTATTAACAGAGTCTTATTACATACAGATCTCACTTGAGGCCCACTGCTCCCTATTCCTTCCCTCATAAATCTCTGTTGAACCAGGAGGATATTTAAGTGAAATCACAATAAACAAGCACACTAAAACTAAGAATGTTAAGCATGCAACAATCCTCTCACATCTACTCAAATCACTTCTCTGAATACCTGAAGTTTTGGCTTTTCTCTGAAAAGGGCAGTATGTGTGAAAGGCATCATCAAAAAAGAAAGCGTTAAAATAGCTGAAACTGATTCTTCAAGAAGACATTTACAGAGAAACATGAGGAGAACTGGCTCAACGCTGATGTAATGACTTCAGTGATTTCAACAGGCTTTTGTTCTAACATCTTAAGGACTGATTACCTGAAAAGAACAACAGCAAGAACACAAGCACTTGTCCAACAGTAATACAAGGAACCTAAAATTGGATGCCGTCAAGAGTTGCACCACATAAAGATGCTTGTATAACTGTACTCTAAGAAGCATGTCAAAAGAAGATCTTTGACAAGCTTTTACCTTCCATTTGCCAGGCAGAATTCCCTACACAAGCAGAAAAAAGTGTGGTAAGAAAACGTGTGCTACAGCATGTTGTCACTTTCAGAAAGAAAAAGATGAGGAAACTGTTCTCCAATGACTGCATACATTTAGTATGATACAGAACAGAAAAATGACTTAATAAAAAAAATAAAGAACAGTTTTAAAACAGAGGCTATCATGAAATTACCTCTAACCATGCCATACTTACTAGAAAAGGAAGTTGCATCCATTTTCCCAACTTTTACTGGAGAGCCCATGCTTTTCATTTCTATACCCACTTCATTCCACACAGGCTCCAATTTCTTGCAGTGGCCACACCAAGGTGCATAAAACTGAGAAGCAAACACATTTGATTAAAAAAAGAAAAGAGAGAAGTTAATGAAGAGAAATAATTAAGAGAAGTTGATTCTATATTAACCCTCAAATACATTAACAAGGCTTATTTTTCCAGTCATGGTGTTCTTTAAGTCTTAATAAAACTGCAAGTTAATTACAAAGCTGGAGTGACAAATGGAGCTGTTATGATTTGGTGCTACTTTTAATATGAAAGCAGAAGTTTGAAAAGAATACATTCAATTGCTGTATTATTATAGAACTTCTTATTTTAAATTAGGCTGTGCAGTAACATTTTTTTTTTATATATATCTCTTGGCATATTTTCTTTTTTTGAAAGTTAAAAGATCATGTAATCAATCTATGCAGGAATATGAATTTATTTGCCAATAAGGGAACACTATTCTTTGACAGGAAGGGCAATATATGTATGTGTGCACACACACACCCCCACACACACACACACCCCACAGCCCCCTCACCGTTCTGCCTATGTCTTGCTGCAATAACTCAATGAAATTAAAAGGGAAGATAGCAATGTTCTATTAAAACAAGATCAGGTCACAACTTGACAGTTGGATTTTGTTTTCCTAGACATTCACTGATCAATTCTGAATCAGCATATATTGTTTTCCCCACTCAAATATAACAAATCTGAATTATACAATTTGGGAATTACAGTTCATATTTGGGTGAGTTAAAAGAATTTTATCTCACTTCCAAACAAGCTCAATCTTCTTAATAATACCTTGCCTCTGAAATAAGGAACACTGAATATTTTCAAATATGTTAGAAAAGTAAAACAAGTCTCTCATATATTTGATGTTGTAGTGCTAAATGTCTAGAACACAAATTAGATGGTATAACTAGAAAATAGAACTGTAAAAATCCCAAACAGAGGTTATTACCTTCTGACTGTGTTAGGTAATCTGCTCTGCTTCTTTAAGGACTGTAAAGTACAGGATGAAGCCTGTCTGCATCCAGTACTCTGTCTAATTCCTGCTTCATCCTGAACAATACAGACAGATTGCTTACCATCCTGTCAGAAGAATTACTGTCATGTAAATTTTCTGCACCATGTACAAATGATTTTCCAAACAATGAAGCAGCCTTACTACAGAGTGCAGCATTGTACACTTCGTGTTTTGATTTCCACTAGCAGGTCTTCCCATTTTTCTCATATACTCACATCTACGAGCCAAATATCATCTTTACGGTTTTCTTTAAACCTAGGAGGGGAAAAAAATAAATTAATATATCATATATCTGAAAACATGTGATGTGTGAAACAGACAAAGTCTACAATTAAGTGAGTATAAAACTACAGATACAAGAATTCTGTTTTGTTTCTTTCTTTGGAGGAAAGGAAGAAAAAGTTATTTTTCAGTATTAAGATTGCCCCTGCACATGATACTACATACACAGTTGTACCAATTACGTTTCTATAACCATTTGCCGAAAACCAAAAACAAAACAAAAAAACAACCCACAGAAACCCAGTAAGAAATCAAAAACCACACATAAGATATTTGATTAGAATATGTAAATATGTAACCTAAGTGAAAGAAGTATTTTGCAGCCATTCTAGTTATTATACACTGTTGTTGACTGTTTAGAAAACGTTGCATTTTTATATAGAACTAATAAAGACTCTTAGAGTATTGGTTTAAACTGTTAATCTTAGCTTTACTGAGTGTAGACTAAATTATCTTTAATGTTAACGTGCAAAGTAATTTTAGTTTAACCTCCTTCAACACTGTACTAGACGTGTCAGTTTATGTTTTTATCAAAGGTGCACACAAGAAACCAACTTATTGGAATAAAAATCTTCAAGTTATAGATAAAAACCAGATACACAAGTACTACTGAATGGTCCTAATGCTAGTCAAGTATCTCGATGAACTGACTACCTTTATTAACTGTCAACCTGTCACTAGATGTTAAAAACTCTAAAAGAAAAACAGAGCATGATAAATCAAAGTTCCTTGGTACTTCCTGAAATACTGCTTACAGTTTTCACTGAACTATTTCTGTGTTGAGAATTAAATAAATCAGAATTTTAATGTAAGGTTAGTTTCCATAAAAGATAGGCTTTGTAAAAGTGACTAAAACTTCAGTTAATATCGCATGCTATAAAATACATTATACAGCATTCTTACTGTCACACTCTTATTGTGAAAGAGAGTGAATATATATCCAATTACACAATAGGTGCGCGATCTATGCTCTATGTTAAGATCCAATTAATAGAAGTTGTAACTCAACTCATCAATTCCCAATATGCAGCATGCCTATAAGTGGCTCACAGGAAGTAAGCAGAATCAGAAAGTATTTATTATATTTTGTTTAAAGTTGAATAGATTTGCAATGGTCCGTAATAGTCTTGAAAAAATACTAATGCTGATGCTGGCTGACTTTAAAAGAAATAATTCAGAAATCATGGATATAACCTAATTACAGTGCTGAGTGTTTGAAACTCAGAATTGCAGAATTTCACTGGTAAATTCAAGACTTTTTTGTTTTATTGATAGTATACCAAGGTTTCAATGCTTGTACAACAGAAAAGGTATTTGCAGTGACTACCATTGAATAGGAAAGTAACAGGAGAACAGCATTTTTCAGTCACAAAATTGCTTCATTAACCACCCACTAAAAATTTACTTCACCATCCTAATGCTACAGAGCTAATGAAAGAACTAGTTAAGAGTCTAGAGTCCCTTGAGAACTCTAATGAAGCTCCAGGTAACTTCCAATTACAATGTCAAATAATTGGTTATGATGCAAGAGGCAGAAAGCAGATCCTGGACATGCTTCAATTTAGAGTATCACCTTTGGTTTGGAAAAGAAGAATTTACAAAATGTTCTCCTCCCCCCACCACAGTATTATGGAATATTGCAAAGAACATTCAAGCATTGAGAAAGATAGGCTGAAATCTTACAAAACCAGCAGACAGCAAGGAAAAGAGGGAAAGAGAGAAAATGTCTGGAGGCCAAACACTCCAATGGAATTTAATAACTTTGGCCTAAGATATTAAGAAAAATGCTGTAGTTTTTACAATAATAATTTTCAAGTTGTACTGCTCATTTACAAGCACCTATTTAATGAAATTCCACAGAAACTAAAATATGAAGTGTGACAAATAACATCTGAACTCATTCCAGTTTTTGTGATGTCAATGCTTAAATTATTAGACATTAAGAAAATTCAACATACTTTTGAAGAAAAACAAAAATATCTGAACAAATGGGTATTTAAGCATTTTTCTGAAGGTGCTGTTTCTAGGCCCTGTAAACACATTTCTGAGAATAAAATTTCAGTGTCTCTTTTTAATGGTCCTATGCAATCCTCTGTCAGCTGACAAAAGCACAATCATGCTGATGGAAAAATGACACAGGTGTTGAATATCCTTGAACCAAAATTACCCATCTCCAATACATACAATTTCCCAACATTTGGCACCACATGATCAAATGCTGCCTCAACCTCCACTAAGTGCATGCACCCCACTTAATCGTGAATGGTTACAAGAAACCAGCATGAAGCAAAACCCAAGACAAAGGCCACAACCCCAAGGGGCTTAAACCGACCCAGGTGCTGCTTCTATTCCTCCCTGTCTCCCTCCCCTACCCCCTTGCACCATTTCTGATGCTTCTAATCCTGGGTTTAGTTATCAATATATATCCTCACAGACGGAATTTTTTTTTTTAGTCAGGTTACTTATCTCCTTTGTTATCACGCTGGAACAAGTCAGCAAATGTCAGAAGGTGAGTACTGATCTGAGACAGCCAGCAGTTAGATCAGCATAAGCTGATAAGAACCATAGCTCTTATTTTGCATCTGTTCCACAACCCCATTGGGTGATGCTGGGTAACCTGCCCCTCTATTAGCTCCTCTCTGCTACTTGTTTTCCTATATCCTGTAAGCCTGGGAAAGGGACCTGTACTTTGTTCCAGTAGGTATTGTTTGCAACTACCACAATTCAAATAAAACTCAAAGTTTACAGCAACAGCAAAAACTCCATAATATTTAGGTATCTATAAAACATAAAACTTGAAAGATTCACTAGTCATTGTTCCCCATGTTTTTAAAAAAATTGTTTTCCTGACCTTTTTCACCATTTGCCAATTAGCTAAAAAAAAAAAAAAACACCTGTCCTGAACAGCTTGCCATTTAATTCTTATTCCAAACTGCAAATACAGGTATCTGTAGAGTTTTGATGCTGAAAAATCCAAGTGTTCTAAAATAGGATTTTTTTTTATCAGCTATTTCAGTAAAGTTATGTGACTACATAATTATGCTTCTTCTCTCCAAAACAGCAATTACATTTAAATTTATACCTGTGGAAAAATGATACGAGAACATGATGCAGCAGCACAGATAAACGTTATTTTATTCACTTAGCCTCTTTATCTTCAGTCCTTGAAAATAGGAGGCACATTTCAAAAACATGCTTTGAAAATCAACACCAGTCAGAGACGCTGATGTATCTTTCTTCAGTACCCCTTCCATATGTTCACATTCCTTCCCCTATAATGTCTCTTCACCTTATTTGAGCCTATGATTATCTGCTCTAGCTGAATAAACAATATGCTAAAAAAGTGAATGGTTTTCTGACTGTTTAGCTCTGACTTTAGCTCCATGATACAATTTATCACGGATAGAACCCTAATGAAAACACTTTCTCGACTGGCTTAAATTTAACATAAAGTAGACATCTAATGCCATCTTCTCCTCTCCTACCAGTTAGTATGTTCTATAGTTTCTATTTCAATTCTAATAACCATGCTGCTTTGTAGCACTTTAGATCAACCTGCTGATCTGACAAAGAGATTTCTTTTTTGGAAAGTTAATTTTTGTTGGGAACAGCAAGTACATAGCCATCAAACTGCTAAAGGAAGGCAGTAGATGAACAATGACATTACACATCCAAGTTAAGGGCAGGACTACCCATTTCAACGCCTCCACAGTCTCAGGGCTAAATCTGTTGTTACAGCACATTTTTACACTGGAAAATACGTAGCACTTCAAGCAGCCATGAACTAGTCCTGCAGGTCTCCTTCTCTCTCCCATTTCTGGCCATGCATGAATGCACTTGTACTCCCAACTCCTTGTGGTGGCTACACAGCAACCTCTAATGAAGAATTTGGTTAAACTCAATCTGCTTTTATTTGGGGTAGGCATCACTCCACCAATACATTTATTCTACATACATACACACACACACACACCAAAAAAAAAAAAAAAAAAAAGCCAGAAAGTCTGAAAATGGCAACAGCACCCATAATAAGAGCTTTAAAAACAACTGCAAAATTAAAGTGTTCCTCAGCTTTTTATCTACTTAACACGGGACTCAATTTTTCTGCTATTCCTGCTAAGAACAGTGTAGATTTCCTGACAACCATACTCTGCACAAAACTGTCAGTCTGGGGTCGTCCCCCCCCCAGCAAAAAGATCAACAATATCCAAGTAATAAAACAAGACATCCCAGTACTTACGACTCGTCTAGATCCTCCACAAAACCCGCACCTGGTGCCGCCACATGTGCAACCACTGCGAGGTAAGGAAAAGCGTGCCGTGAGCGACCTCCAGAGCAAACTGGGGGCGCCGGCCCACGCCGGCTGGCAGGCTCACCGCCAGCGCGCCCTCCCCGCTCTCCCCTCACGCCCCATCGCTCTCCCACAGCCCCAGCCTCCCCCGCCGCCTGCCCCGCCGCCCCCCTCGGCCCTTCTCCCGCTCCCGAAGCCCACCGCTTTATCCCCGCTCCGCCCGCCAGGCCACAGTCGCAGCCCGGAGCGGCTGGCAGCCTCCCGACGGTTACCTGCCGCCCAGAGAAGCCACGGCCGCCGCCCGCCCGCCGCTGCCATGTTGACAGCAGCCCCGGCGCAGCCGGAAGGGGAAGCGGCGAGCGGCGGCGGCGACCCGTCGCCATTGCGCAGGCGCGGAGGCCGGGGCGGCGGGGCGGGGCGGGGCGGAGGCCGTTCTGCCTGAGGGGGTAACGGAAGCCGGGGCCGGGCTCGGGGCGGCGTGTCCCCCGCCAGATCCCGGGTCTCTGCGCAGCCGAAAGGCGCCCGTGGAGTCCGGGGGGGGGGGGGGGGCGGTTGTGACACCCTGACGCAGTGGTGGGACACAGTGTGGATGGACAGTGGTTTCCAGAGTTGGGGCCCGCCGGACTCCCTCATCTAGTGAAATTAATGCTCTTTTTTTCTTGGAAAGTGAATTTCAGCACAAAACCCCGTACCACCTGTCCTCCATGAGTAGAGCTCATCCTGCACCACTTACTGCTATGTCAGCAACCCTTCTATAGCACGTTTATGAAAAATACGGGCTTGGACTCTGCTGCTTAAATGCCTGTATCGCTCTCTTCAGCTTTTCTCATTCTTTCAAACCTGTTACTGCCTTTCCTATCTTCAACTGGCTTGTCTGTCTGTCGGTACAGATCTGCAAGTCCTGGAAGGGCAAGTAACCCACCTGAGAAACTTTTTTAAAAAATGTTTGGCTAAAGCAGGTTTGGGACTATTGAGCCTGGAGAAGAGAAGGCTTGGGGGGGGGGATATTATAAATAAATGTGTGTAAGTACCTGCAGGGAGGGTGCAAAGAGGACAGAGCCAGGCTCTTTCCCATGGTGCCCAGTGACAGTACAGAAGGCAGTGGGCACACGCTGAAACAGGAGCTTCTTTGTGAACATCAGGAACCACTTTTTCACTGTGAGGGTGACAGAGCACTGCCCACCAGTCTGCCACCTTGGAAATAGTCAAAAGCTGCCGGGACATGGTCTTGAGCAACCAGTTCTAGGTGACCCTGCTCAAGCAGGGAAGTTGGACCAGATGACCTCCAGAGGTCCCTTCCAACCTCAACCATTCTGCGATTCCATGACCTATTCCTTTTCAGTTTTGAGTCCTTCAGTATAAGTTCTTACATAAGCCTTTCTCCCCTAGATGGGAGTTGCTTTCTTCAGCTCTACATGCAAATGTTTGAGATCTTTGTTGGAGACGGATAGATTCTTTCCAGTGACAATTCAGTTCCTCTGACCTCAGTGTTCAAGTCCCTTCTTCTAATGATAGGGTCTACAGGCAGCAAACATTGCAGTTGCCTCACTTTTGGGCTGCTGTGTGTGTGTGTGCACGCATGCATGTGTCTACATGCATGTAGATACATATTGTCCTTCTGTAGCAATAAAAATGAACTGTCTATTCATTACCTGGCCTGGTGAGGACTTCCCCTTCACTTCATGCTTTGTGGATATAGCATGTGGGATTCATCAAATGATCCCCAGAGTTGTCCAGCCCTTTGGAAAAGCCAACTACCATATCATATGTTTATTGGCTAAGAAATAGGTCAAGATCTGAGAGCGTATGCCATAGCTCACATCAGAATTCAGAAGTGCCTGACTCCGACCCATGGTAGACATACCTCTTTTCTTACCCACATTTCGCTGAAAGATTATGCAGCATTACAAATCTTGATAAGGATATTTCACTTTTTTTTTTTTTTTTTTTTTTTTTCCTTCTGACACAGTCAATAGGAGAACTAATAAGTTGCTAACATCTGGTTGGTTGGATAAATTATGAGAATTACTCACTGAATACAGAGAATTTCTGTTCCACAGCATTTAACTTTCTGTATACCACAGTTAGCTAAGTGGTGTCTGTATGCCTGACCAAATGAGAACTGCCATCTGTCTTGATCCTAATCTAGCTGCTGTCTAGACTGAGACAATGAAAACAATTTACCCCATCAATCCTTTAGTGGAAAATCCATACAGGAGAAAATGGGAATAGCCAAGTAACTGTTAAAATTTCTCTTACTCAGCCAGATCACTGTTGGCTTTAGATAACTTTTAAAGTGAAAGGAACATTTTATATAGCTTTGTACAGATTCAGATAAAGCTATTTACACATCCCTGAAGTCCTATTTGTCAGATTTGAAGTTTATTCTCTCTGCAAATAATGGAATATGATTGTTCAAACTTGCATTTTCCAAGCCAAAGTCTTCTTCTGCATGCCTGTACACTATTCTTGAACTATATTATTTTGAAATTGAAGGAATCACTGTATATTTACTTCTTTATAACTAAATTTGTGTACACCCACATACACAACACTCTGCTATATTTATTTATACAATTTATAGTGCAGCTTTACTGCCTAAAATGCGATATGCATGTAGGAGATAGTTCTTGCATTGAAGCCAAGTAACAAAGTATCGTGGGAAAAGCATGTGACATGCAAAAGAAATAAATAGGATAATCATAGATGAGGTCCAAAGAAATCTCAAGGGGCTTTTGTGTTTGTATTATTTCTACTATAAACATCTAATTTGAAAAAGAAAACTGGGAATTAATAGATTACTATTAATAGATTACTAAACTCACTGGATTTTAGTGTAAGAAAGATAATTAAGAAAAGGGATAACTTTGGTAAATTAACTGAGCAGAAGGTATGAAAAACAAAGACAGAGGAGGATAAGAATCAAAAAGCACAGAGAATACTGTTGAAATCCCTGGGAGGTACTGCAGGAAAAAGTGGGAATTATAGCGAGATCAGCAATCAGCGAAACACTGGAAATTGAACAGACAAGTTCACGTACAAGGTTTCAAAGGCTCCTTCCAATCCATATTGTGTGGGAAGACTCAGTGGTCCTGCTGTTCCAGATAGTTCTTTTTTTGAGCCTTATAGGCAGGAAGTTCGAGAAAGATAAGATACAAGTGTTGCCTCATGGCCTGCTGAAGGCTGCTTTTCAGCGCTTTTTGCTGTTGCAAGATTTTCAGTTTGTGCAGATTGTCCACTCTTCTTGCCCTATGTGAAGGGCAGGGAAAAGGACTTACTTATAACTCTGTCTAAATTATACAATGTGGACTTACGTTTACTGGAAAATGTAGAATTTTGCCTTAAGAGAAATAATCTCTTTCAAATAGTTTCCTGTCCAAGATTCATTAACATTGTAAATAGAATAGTGGCATCAGTTTCATTATACATAGGCAAAAATAAAATACTTAAAATATTAAAGTTCTTTGCGCACATCTTTATTTTTGCACAGTGAACAGTGTCTCTGTGACACCATATGATAAAGGAGACTTCCCAGCTCTGCCCAGCCAGGCATGAAAGGTTATAAGGAAGGATCAGACTAAAAGTGTAGAGAGGGGTTGGAAGAGTGGAAAGAAAGAAATGAAGAAAGATGGGGGTAAAAAGAGGAAAGAAGACGAAACAAGAACTTGAGCAAGAAAAAGAGGCATGGAAAAAAGATGAAAGAGCGTTCTGAGATGGACAAAGTTTTGGAGCTAAATTTGTTGATAACATGATAATGCAGTCTACATCAAGAGCTTATGATAGTGAGCAAAGCAGTTACAAGTTATGAAAAGCCCAGAAGCTGAGCTGTGGAAGAGAGAACGAGTTCTAGCTAATGAAGGTATCAAAGGAAGAAAATCACATGCCTTGTAATTTTGCCACCAGTAGTATCTCTCGATGATGCTACTGGTTTTGGGTATATTTTACTGCTTGTTTTATATAAATTTTAATATATATTTTTACTTCATTGTATCTTATTTACTAAATATATTTGTTGTTATAGAACATAAAACATGTAAACATCAAAATGAAGTTTACAAAATGCAATTTCTGAACATTTACACAAAGATTTTATACAAAATGTTTTCCAGCTATTCATGCATATGTTCCTTCCTGTTATATGAAATCTAAGAATGTGTGGAAAAAAAAAAAAAAATAATTTTAGTAAAATTAGTCCTAATTTTAGTAGGAGTAGTCCCAGAAATAAATTAGTAATTTCAAAATTATAAGAGATTTCTTTTTGAAAATACAGAAAAATATGTTTCTTTTACCTTAATAAGGTACAGGTGTTCCATACTTTGAGACTATTCACCTTCTTGGTATTTATCTTTTATCAATCAGTTAAGATTATAGTGCTCGCAATTAAGAACTGTTGTCAAAGACATGTTAAGCAAAACAAAAATCTAAATAAATACCACCCAAGTATCTTTTCACATAAACCAGATAGATTGTAGCAATGAAGGGGAAGGGGGGAATGTGTCCTTTAATTTGAAAGTGATAAGAGCACATTTGTGAACCAGTGCTTCTTGTATTGTTAGATTTTTCCAAGACAAATCTATGCACTCCCATCACTATATGCCAGCGACACAAGTGTTTGTCTTCATGTGTAACAGAAGTACTGTTACAAACAAGAATATCAGTAACTGTATCATTCAATATTGAATTTTGTAATAGACAATATGCAAAGTTGTGCTACTACAAATAGTTTCTGTTGGTGGTCTTTATTTCTCTTCCATTACAGGACTAAGCTTGTATTGATACGAGGTATCTTCCCATAGTGACTGCATCTATGATAGTGGGTTTGTACCACTTTAACTGTGTCAGTACTTCCTATAGGTACAACCTAAGTCTGTTTCATAAAATAAACTAACCCAGTAATACAGTTGTCATTAATTATAGTTAAATTCAAAGTAGTGATGAACTTATGTTGAAATAATTTTGTGTCTGATTAGAAGAACGGGTAATTGCACATGTTCCAGTGCACTTTGGGTTTTTTTTAACACGCTTTGCATGAGAATGCTTGCAGTTCTTGCAAGGTGCAACATGCAGTAGAATCTGAATTAAAAATATAATTGTGATGGCATTAATACTGTTGACACTGGCAGCAGAATTTGGCTGATCTTGTATTAACATTCGACCTTTCCACATAACTTTAGTTTTTAGAACAGGTTGATCTGATCGGTGGGGGGGAGGTTGGTGGGTAGGAGACTGAGATATTTTTTTTTTAAAACACTACATTTTTACATTCCTTTTATTACAGAGACACCTGGTGGTCTTTGGGTGTGTTTACAAAAATAAAATTTTCCCTATTTTGACTGGGTTTACTTTAAAGTTTA